ATGAAAACACTGGAATTACAGCTTGTATGCCAAAGTCCTACCCAAGAAGGAAAATAAAAATTTGTTTTACTTCACAATGTTGGGCAAAAAGAGCTTTTTAAAACATACAGAAAAAAAGAAAAACAAGTGTGAAAAGATAAATAGTATCTTAGAGAAAGCAAAAGACAAATTTTAGAATAATGATTAATATATATTTGTTAACATTTTAATTCATAAAACTACATTGAATATAGATTTAAAAATATCTTCCAATATCTATAGATAGAACTGAACACAATATGTTTTCAGCATTTTCTATGTGATCCACTCAAATCCATTAATATGGTATAAAATATAATTAATAAAATGCTTTATTTCCAATGTATCAGAAGGCTATATGCCTGTGTTCGTTGGAACACAAATGATGAGGAAGAGAAGAAAAAATAGAAAAAACAAATAATCCGATCAAACTGAACATTTACAATGTCATTCATAGAGTTTTACCAACATTAAAAGTATTTATATCACATTTTTTCATACAGAAACACAACTTTTCATACAGAAATATGTTCATTCAACTATCTTCAATATATAAGAGAAGGTCATAGACTTGTATTTATAAATATAAAATCAAATAATGTGCTTAAAGGGACATAACTCTAGAGACTGAATATTAATTAGAATCTAGACAGTTTGGATCTCCAGCCTATGTTATGGATCACTGTGTCATATTTCTTCTGAGAGTTCCATGGTATTTTTTAATTAACTTTGAACAAAACAGAAAAAAGGCAAAATGAGAGGTTTCAGACATCAACAGAATATCAATCTCAAACATATAAGTTGTATATATCAAATCTACCTGTAATCAATATGGGCAGAAATTATGTGGATGTATTTTCTAGAGAGCAACACACACAGAACACCTTACCACCCTATGCTGGTTAAACTCATAATCTAACGCCATCCAACATGAAAACATACCGTTCTACATGGTTTTAGTCCTTTTCAATCAAAATGTATTCACATATTGACAAGGTAAATATAAGCTAACTCCTGCTAATATGTCCCAAGAATATATATATATATATATATATATATATATATATACACACACACACACATATATATATATATATATATCGAGCGGGTCCAGTAACGTCTCCATCATGAGCATATTGAATACGTCACGGGTAGCTTGCCAGGCTCTGCTGTGCGGGCGAGATACTTTCGGTAGCTTGCCGGGCTCTCAGAGAGGGACAGAGGATCAAACCCGGCTTGGCCACGCTGGCTGTACGCAAGGCAAATGCCGTACTGCTGTGCTATTGCTCCAGCCCTTATATCTAAGAATATATATATTCAAGAATCAGTAAGATGGAATGGTAAATACAGCAGGGAAGGAGCTTATCTTTTGTGAAGCTAACAAGGCTTTGAACCCTGGAACCACATATGGTTCCCAGAGACCCACCAGTAATGACCCCCAAACAAAGAGCCCGGAGTAAGTTCTGAGAATTGCTAAGCATCCTACCAAAACAAACAAAGGAAGCTAAACAAAAATCAGAGAAGATTACATATTTTCACTGAAAATTTCATTTTTGACATAAAAATCATTATTTTACCTATGGGGATTGAACCAACTCTGTGAAAAAAAAAAAGATAATATGCTCATACGGAAACATGTCACATTGGGAAATTTTGAACTCTTAGTTTATAAGCAAAATGAGTACATATTTCACTATAGTAGGATCATCTTGATCTTCCAACATAGTATAAATCCATATCTTATTATGAAAAGTACTTTTTAAGGAAATTATACCAAAAAGTAACTGAGCAAGTACTTTTCATAGTAAACAATACAACTATTCTAAAGAGAGTTTTAAGCAGGAAAGAATTTCAATATTTCAGGAAGGTCATAGAGTACAGTCAACCTCAGGTAACAAGATGTGCAAGCCTCTTATTAGTAGCAGCTGACTGAAGATCTATGAAAACAGATCAATGACAAATAATATAGTTTTCAATCACTGATATCCTTGAATTACAAATTCTGCTCTCCAACACTCACTAGCAGAGATGAGTAGGGAGAGAAAATTATGAAAAATAATAATTTACTTTTGTTCATAAAATTAAATTTCATTTAACAGTCTCTTTACTGGAATCCTATTCAATTATTTGCTTCTTATCTAAGACTAAGAAGGCTATTTAAATTAGATATCTGACTTCCATCTTTGGAAACAAAAAAATAAATAACTGACAAAAATATTTGAAGACATTCACAAAAGTTGTTAGTTTAATAGAAAAACCATCAAAATAGCAAATATCTACCACACATAGTCTTAATCTCTCCCTTTCCATATATTTATATGGTGAAGCTTATTTTAGCAGACATTACAAAGTAATAAATATAAAGTATACCATAACAGCAGCATGTTTTATAACTTTTTTTACATTTAACTATATTTGTAAATTAATGAATTATGTTCTAATAAATCTAACTTTATGTTTTTTTGTTTAAAAACAAAAGTAATTTGAGAAACTAAATGGATTTCAAAACCGTTTGAATATTCAAAATATCTTTAAATATATTCTGAGATTTTTTTGAACATGTTGGTAGTGGATTATATGTTATAAATTATGAAATCTTATTCACTCCAACCAAATGTGACTTGATAAAAAATTGAAACTTTCTTAAGATTGGGAATTTAAAAAATCAATGTAAAATATATCTCTGCTATGAAATATGCCTCAAGTAATTCAAACAAAAGCAATTTATTGATGCCTGATAGTTAACTATTTTACAGACCTAACCCTAATCTATGTTTATATATTTCAATTTTCTAAAACAGAATGAAGAAGTTTTATATGCTAAAGTCATAATATTTATTATCACCTTGAATATGTAATTTATCTTTTTAATTAAATCACCATGAGATATAATATTACAAAATTGTTCATGATTTTATTTCAATTATACAATGTTTCAATACCCATCCTTGACCAGTATAATTTCCCAGCAACAGTATACCCAGTCTCCTACCCCTTTAAATCATTCCTCCCACAAACCATAATGCCTGAAATGAGAAAGCGAAAGAGAGAGAGAGAGAGAGACAGAGACAGAGACAGAGACAGAGACAGAGACAGAGACAGAGACACAGAGTGAGAGGGAGAAGGTACCTGCGACAGACGCAGGCCAGAATGAAGAATTATTGTGTAAATAAAATATTGTTCAAGATATAGCCGCAAGAATATTTCCACTTTTGTAAGTAACAGCATTATTCATAATGTAGTCTTCATAGTTTTATTTTTTCTTTAACAATTTAAGTGAGCCATTTTAAGCTTTCAAACCACAACATTCAAACATATGAACCTTATTTTGTTGTTGGAAGGAGGAAACAGCTGACTGTGCCCAGGTTTTACTCCTAGCTCTGTGATCATGCATCACTCCTGGTCATACTTGGGGGTCAATATGTGGCAGGGATGACGGAGTTTGGCTGACTGCAAGGCACTAGTCCTACCCAATCCAGATCATACTGGAAAATAATACTGGAAAGCTTTATAATATATATACCTATTTCTAATAGGTATATATATATCTATTAGAAAGTAGATAAAAATAAAATATACCTATAACAATACACGCAGTAAATCCAATAATATAAATCTAAATGTGTCTTGAATGCTCTTAAGAGATTAAATGTTCTATGGTGCCATTTTTTTTATCTTTTAGAATCTTCCACATATCCTCTGAGAAAAATTTGTAAGGTGCAAAAAGCTTTGAAAAATAGTATACACTTTCTTAAAACTTAAAATTTCAGTATTTTTTTATCAATCTAGGATATTAGTCAGTATCACTCTAGAATATTAGTAATCTGTAACAAATTTGGATGAGCCTCTTGAATTCATGTTTTAGTAGTCTCTTATGAAGCCACAAAGAAAAGTAGATAAGACATGGTCTTCTAAATTCCTAATTAAAAATAATTAGAATTTATCTGCAAAGAGGGCATGAAAGAGCAAATTCAGTATGGCAAAGAATTGGCCACCTGACCTCCAAGGACTTCTGATAAAATTATTTTTATTCTGTTCTGCTTTGAGGCCACACACAACTGTGCTCAGGGCTTACTCCTTCTCTACTCCAGAATTAATTTGAGTTGGCTGTGTGCAAGGCTTTAACTGCTTTAACCCCTGTACTACCTATTCAGCCCTGAATGACATACAATTTTTAATTAGTCTTACTCTTAAAATGAAGGATAATGTTTACTTTTTTATACAAAATTTGCACATCTATAAAAGAGGAAATTGAACGTACACGTTTGTTCTTATTTTGTTTTGCTTTTGGAGCTTTAATCGATTGATTTGTACTTAGATTCTGCATACATAGAAATTAAACTGAGTAAAGGGTCCCCTTTGTTGTGTGATTTTGAGTTTGGAGGCCAACGCCAGCACTATTCAGGGAATAATCCTGACTCTCTCTCACTCCGCTCACAGGGATTACTCCTGTTGAGGCTTGGGGGACCATACAAGGTGTTGGGGGTGGAACCCAAGTTGACCATATGCAAGGCAAGGGCCTTACCCGCTTTATCGTCTCTCTAGCCCTACTATACCTTCATTTTACAAAAGTAATAAATTTGTTTGAATACGATTTATTGTTTTCATATATAATGAAATAGTAAGCAAAAACTGTCACTACCCAACTTACTGCTTCACAGATAGACTATTGTCAGACATAATAACAAACACAGAGACAGATCATGAGTAATTTCAGAAATTCTGACTTTGAATTAAGTTAACATAGTTTCATTAACACAATTCTACATTACCTGATTACCATACTTTAATTTAAAGATTGATTTAATAATCTCAAATGATCTTAATGCAGTCCTCACATCTAGAAGTTTATGATAATGTTCTAATAATTGATTCACTTTGATATATATTCAATATTCTTCAAGTTCTCCATATCTCGTAAGGCTAGAAGATATCACACAAAACATATAAATGAAAGCCAGATTTAACAGTGTAATACTCACATTGATGTCTTCCAGATCTAAATTATTTAGAATGATATTATTTCGTTTCCAGATGATTGGGGGTCTCAAGGCCCCCTGAACCGCACAGCTCAGAACAGCACTTTGTCCCACAGTTGCTGCGGTAATGCTGAGCTTCTGATCTTCAGGCAGACTCAACTGGATAACCTCTGTAAAGATAAAGTGTCAGCAACGTTGATGAGCATATAGTTCTGTGAGGTTATTCACTATAAATTTTCTGAATATCAACAATTAGGGCTTTTCATTTAAATAAAATGGAAAAAGAAACTCATGATGAAATGAAAAAGAGTAAACTGTTTCCAATGAAAGGTCAGAATGACATTTCAATTTAATTGATTGACAAGCATCCTAGGGAGGCAAAGAACTATTAAACATGAAATAAATATCAGAAGTAGAGTTATAATAAGCCTGGCAGATTGCACCCAAAAGAGAATTAAATTATTTAACTGCCAAATCTACATGTAGTGTGTCATCAGCATTGAATAAAATGTTGTTTATTCACTGATAGATTTATATTATAGGTGAGGTGAGATCATTGCTGGCTAGTTTCAGAGAACACTACCATAAATGAATAGGTAGAATGCTTCATTCTGATGGGAAACATAAATTGTCTCTAAAGGAATAAGATTTATTTGGGAAGTTAAAGGAGGAGAAACAGAAGTTCCCCAACCAAATACCAATTACGTAAATTTCTGTCAGCTGCCTTTATTTAATATAGTTGGTAGTAAAGTGAATTCTTGGTACTTACATTTCAAGTTAAATATAGCTTTAACATTAGATACACTTCTCCAGAAAACTACGTTAAAGACGATTATTTTTAATCTTGATGCAGCTTTCATTTTCTGCTTTCATATAATAATAAAGGGCTACAGAAATCAACAATTCTATCGCTGTCAATTGTCATGAGATGCTTGAGATACTCTCAGTCCTTCTCATTCAGATCAAAACTTCCCTTCAGTCTGATCTGACATCTACAGATATTCTAACTTTTCAATCTGTGAGTCCTGCATTTTTACTTACTCAGTCTCAACTAGGTTTGAAATGTCACAAAACATCTTAAAAAAAATGATCACCTTGATTTGCAAAGTTCTTCATAATATCGTTGTTTTAGGCATTCAGTGTTCCAACTCCAATCCTGTCACCAATGTGACTTTCTCTCCACATGATGTCCCCTGTTTCCCACCCACCTTCCCAACCTCCCGCATAAGCACAAAATTAAGGTTAGCACTGTAGCAGTGTCCTCCCGTTGTTCATCAGTTTGCTCAAGTAGGCCCAGTAACATCTCCATTATGAGACTGGTTGTTACTGTGTATGGCATATTGGATATGTCACAGGTAGCTTGTCAGGCTTTGCAGTGCGGGAGAGATACTCTCAGTAGCTTGCCGGGGTCTCTGAATGGGTTGGAGGAATCAAACCCGGACCGACCTGGCCAGTTGCCTGCAAGGCAAATGCCCTACATTTCAAAAATATTGTCAAAGGGGCCAGAGTGGTAATACAGTGGGTAAGGCACTTGCCTTGAACACAGCCAATCTGGGTTCATTCATATATGGGTTCATTCATTCCATTACCACACATGGTCCCTGAACCCTCCAAAAGTGATCCCTGAGCACAGAGCCAGGAATAAGCCCTGAGCACAGCCAGATGTGCCCCAAAACCACAAAGGTAAGTCTGCCCTATTTTACTGAATTTAAAGTACTTTGTTTATAAGGCACATCATCATTTATGTGCCAACTAAAAAAAAAGGCTAATCTAGGACAAGACATTAAGATGCACCCAACTTAAATATATCAGGAACTGCAGGATAAAATCATTTGTGTTCCCCGGGCATCCAACAATGGCAGAGACATCAGACACCGTAGTTGATGAGGCCCATTTAACTCACAGTGTTCTCATTTCAGATGCTGGATCAGCATCAGCACCAGCATCAGCCCCAGCCACTTCAGAGCAATATAGGAGTTTGCACTGTCTGCTATCCACAAAGGTAACAAGACTTTGCTGAAATCCCAAATGAAGGATGTGTCTAATGCATTCAAGCCTGGGCTGGAAGACAATACTGGTGTTAAAGCACTTGCCTTCCATGTGATCAAACTGTGTTTAATCCCCAGCATTGTCATACAGTTCTCTCTCCATACCTCCAGCATTGTCAGGAGTGATTCCTCAGCACAGAACTGTAGGTAGCCCCTCAGCACTGCTGGGTGTGACTTAAACACAACATCCTACACCAAAAAGTATATAATCCTTATTTTTATTTTCTCCATTACTCACATGTAATTGTTTCAGATTTCTATCAAGGACAACTGAACTTTTAATTTACTGTTATTTGTATAATAAAAAAAATTGACACACAAGAACACATTGCAAAAATTCCCTAAAAATTAAAACCAGCAAAGCAAATGAGTCCAGCAGAACCTGATAGGCACTAATTTTTTTATTCAACGGCTTCAACCAAACATGTCCCCAATGAAGGCTTGTCCAGTTGCCACCCCTATGTGCAGATTCCCATGAACTTTTCTATGACCCTAAGTACTTATACTCTCATAACTCATTGATCTACCAAATCAACGAATCAGCAAAATAATAAATGGCAATAACATACCAATTCTATGCCTGGTAAGGGCTGGCATTCTTAAAAAATTATTTAAAATCTCAAAAGATTTCCCAACAGCAAAACACTATCTTCCAAGTGTGACTTGTCTTCCAGTTCATGCATGTGTCCTTTTCTTGCAAGAACATGCCACTATGTGTATACAGTTATGTATTGGAGGGTACTTAAGTTTTTCTATTAAAAAAAAAAACTACAAAAGAAAAGACAGTTGTGGTTCCAGTGCTCCACAATCCCCTCACAATATGCCCTGTAAATAAAACTCATAGGGTATCTACCATCAGTATCAAGCTGAAAAACTCATCTTTCCAATGAACATGTAGAAATTATTGTTACAACAAAATGACAAGTGGAATTTTCAGAAAATAATCAATAAAAGTCAATCTGTGATAATTAATCTCATACTGGTGTACTAAAGTCATTGTCTAAGGATTTTACTGAGCTGGTTGATCCTTCTACGTTAATTGTTTCTGCTCATAAATTTTGGTGGGATTCTCTGCAACTTTCCCATAAAATTTGCTGTGCTCTGCTTCTACTGAGCTGTTAATCATGTGAATTTTGCAGGTATTGCATGGCCACATATGTGATCACATGTTCCAGTAGTCTTGGAACTGGGTCATTTATTTGCTGGAAAATGCTGGTTCTGGGGCTGATGGACCTAAACATCAGGCAGGGGAATCTGTCTGACCCTATTCCTAGATGTCACTGTTTCCAGTCTGCAGATTGATCAACCTGACTGATTTGGCTGCTTTGGTGGCTTCACAAGAGTCACAAATCACTGTTTTGAGTGAAATTTATTTGGTGGAGACTAGGGCAGGGAGTAATTATCCATTCCCCCTGACCACCACCACCAAATTTTTCATGGGAGGTTGAGTAAGAAAAGTGACGACCTTTCATTTGTACTGAATATGATCAAATATAATCATTGTCATCTCTTCATTAACTCAAAGTAGAGGAGTGGCTGAACCCATAAAACACATCAAACAAAAAACATGGGAATGTTCTATGAGATTAATTTCAGTGGTGTCTGCAGTAATTAACTCCATTGGCAAGGAAAACAAAAGTAAATTAATGGCTGGATAGATAATAATATAAAAAATAATAAAATATTTTTGCACAAGTAGGTCAGGTGCTTTCCTTGCACACACACAGCTGCCCTGAGTTTGATCTCCGGCACCCTATGCATTGCCATGAATGGTGCCTGAGTGCAAAGCCAGGGTTAATACCCTGAGCACTGCCAGATGCAGTCAAAAAAAACAAACAAAAATTAAATCAATGAGATTCAATAAAATTTAAAACCTTCTGCACTACAAAACAAAGACTAAAACTGAAAGACATCCTAAGAGACAGAGATATTTGCAGACGATGCATATAGTAAAGCGATTAATATGTAGTTTATATACATCACAAAACTCAACAGCAAAAACAGTCTTATCAAAAATGGGTGGGAGATGTGAATAAACACTTTCAAAACAAACATCCAGATATCCATATAGTATATGAAGAAAAGGAAATGACAAATACAACCATCAATATACAATCACATTACACATATGAGAATGGCTTATATAAAAAAAAGTTCACTAACACTAATTGTTGATGAGGATGTTCAACATGTCCAAGAACAGAGAATTCATGATATAAGCACAAGACGAATATTACTGAGTTATATGAGAAGATAATGTATTGCCTTATAACAAGGATGCAGCTGAGAGGGTTGATAAGTATGAGATAATCAGAAGGAGACACAAATACTGATGACCTCATTTATACAGAGTATAAAAAAAGCAAGGGAAGAGACAGTGTCCAATGGAAAAAACAAAAAACAACATCCTTAGACAGTGACGAGAGAGTTGCAGTTGCTAAGCTGATACCTGAAAAAATCCAAAGAGATTTTTATAGAGGGAAATTGGTATTTTGATGATAGATATGATGATATTGTGTCCCTGAAACATAAAAAGTTTATACTCTTTTAAACTCAATAAAATTAACTATAATAAATTTATAAAATATTATATATAATAAGCAATGGATGTAGTAATGCGTATATTTTATAAATATATAACTGTGTAGATAATGACCTTATCTTAAAGAAAAGAATTGGTAGAAAATAAAATTCTGAGAATGACAGTAATAATTTATACCACAAGTTCTGAAAAATATGAAAGTACTTAAAATAACAAGTATAATTACAGACCTCTTACATTTAAAACTAAAAGGTCATTTCTTGTCATGAAATTGTAGGATTCAAAAGTTATGCAGATATATGTAAAATAAAACATTTCTATAATATAATGAAGTAAATTTTTTGAGAAAAACTGCAACTTTTTCTTTATTAAAGTAATAAGGACAAAATTGTATCATACATATAATAATGTTTTGATAATACTTCAGGTAGTTTTACATGTTAATAATAATCTCATTTATTTTTTAATTTAATTCATACTTTTGATATATTTCTATAGTTTTATAAACATAGAACAATTCCCATTCAACTCTTCTGTTCAATTGTTATGTAATTTCTGTCAAGCAAGTTATAAACACTTT